ACGTCGAGACAAACTGCGGCAGCGCTCGGCCAGGTCCCGCAAGTAGGCGGCAACGGTATTTCGCAAGACATATTTACAACGTTCCCGGCTCCAAATCTACGGAGCACTGTACGGTCACCAACTCAACTATTCGCAGCTGCGTCGAACGATGCGTTTAATTTAACGACGTCGCAGCTTGCAGCTCGACAATGTGTACCAAGAGATTTGCCGGTGTTTAGTGGTGACCCTCAAGAGTGGCACATTTTTGTTAGTGCATTCGAGCAAAGCACACAAATGGCTAATCACGAGAATTTAGTTCGCCTTCAAAAGAGCCTACGTTGAAAAGCTAGGGAAGTCGTGCGAAATCTGCTTGTATTGCCAGATATGGTGCCTGATATCATGTGTACGCTCAGAATGTATTTTGGGCGCCCTGAGCAAATACTCAGACAGCTCATTGATAAGACAAGGCAACTACCGCTACCGAAAGGCAAACTTGATCTGCTCATCGACTTTTCATTTGCCATCAAAAATATCGTAGCAACAATTCATGCTTGCAAACTAAGCGGCTACCTCAACAGCCCACTATTATTGCATGAATTTGTAGATAAACTCTCCCAAGAGGCAAAACTGAACTGGGCGATATACTCAACTGGGATTGAGAGCCCCACCTTGAGCGATTTCTCCACCTGGCTATCCACCTTGGCTGAAGCAGCGTGTCGTGTTACAAATCCTACTGCTACCTCTGAGAAAACGAGCAAGCGTGAAACTCAATTGCACACTCACAGATCCGCTTCCAGTATTTCAAAAACACGCGTGGAATCTAAGTCAGTTACCAGATGCGCAGTATGCAGTATGGCACACAAAGTCTCTCAGTGTGAACAATTTAAAGCACTCACTACTGATGAGAGATGGGATGTAATTAAAAGAAAAAATATTTGCCGACAGTGCTTGGGAGCACACTCACGTCGTTGTTGGAGTAACAGGTTGTGCGGCATCGATGGCTGCACAATACGTCATCACGCATTGCTACATAGTGCAAATAGTCGACAGAGCAATGAAGCTTCAACTATGCTGAATAATCATCGCTCTATTTCCAGTAACAATACCACACACTTTCGCATTCTACCTGTTGAATTACACGGCAAAAACAAAACAATACTCACATACGCGTTTATGGACGACGGATCAACGGTAACTCTCATGGAGCAAAGTCTCACAGATGAATTAGGTGAAACTGGCATTCCAGATCCTCTCAGCATTCATTGGACCGGCGACATAAATCGATACGAAGCTGACTCGCAAAGACTTGACATACGAATTTCAGGTATAATGCGGAACGGGAAAATATACCCATTGCGCGGCGTTCACACGGTGAAAAGCTTAAATATGACTTCAGAATCTTTAATTGCCGACAAATTAAAGGAAAAATACGACCATTTAAAAGGTGTCCCTTTGCCAAGCTTTAGTGACGTAATTCCTTCGGTAATTATTGGCGTAAATAACCCTAATTTAATAATGGCTCTGAAAGTGCGTGAAGGTGGGTGGCAAGACCCTATTGGAGTGAAGACTAGACTGGGGTGGACAATTTTCGGAGGCGGAAATGACCCGAGTAAACACAGCGGATTACATTTACATAAGTGCGACTGCGGCAGCGACAATGATTTACATGAACTCGTAAAGTCATTCGTAATCAACGAAAATATTGACGTTGCGACGCCAAAGGAAACCCCGGTTTCTAGTGAAGACCAACGAGCCCTAGAAATATTGCGTGGTTGTGAGTTACGCGAAGGTCGGTACATTGCGGGGTTGCTGTGGTCAGATGACCAAATACAATTGCCTAATAGCTTACCAACTGCTCTCCGACGTTTTAAGTGTTTGGAGCGTAAATTCCTTACCGATCCAGAACTTCATCGCAATATGCAACAGCAAATTGAAAATTTAGAAAGCTATGCGACCAAGTTGCCGGACGAAGCTATTAACGATCGCGGAGGTAAAGTTTGGTACCTGCCAATTTTTATCGTCCGAAATCCGCACAAACCAAATAAAATTCGCCTTGTGTGGGACGCAGCCGCGAAATCCGCAGACGTTTCGCTGAATAGTTTCTTACTAAAAGGCCCGGATATGTTAACGCCACTTGTAAGTATTCTCTTCAACTTTCGCATAGGTAACTAAAATGGCGAATTTGGCTTAAGTACCTTCCAGTAATTACCAGTGTATCCGTACCGCGCTGCTACTCTCCATATCTTTATGAGACCGCCTGTAAAGTGCAGTTACATACGTTCGTCGACGCGAGTGAGAATGCGTACGCTGCGGTGTCGTATTTTAGAATCGAAGCTGGCGGTAAAATTTCGACTAGGCTCGTAGCGGCTAAAGCGAAAGTCGCACCATTGCGCCCGCTATCAATTCCACGAATGGAATTACAGGCAGCAGTAATTGGTGCCCGTCTAACGAATATGATCGAAAAGGCTCATCCTCTACATTTGGAGAAGCGCTACTTGTGGAGCGACTCAAAAACCGTTTTAAAATGGCTTTACGGCGACCCACGTAAATTTCAACAATTTGTTATGTTTCGTATAGCTGAAATCCATGAAACGACTGCCACTAGCGAATGGCGCTGGATACCAACAAAAATGAATGTCGCTGATATCGCTACGAAGACTAAGTCGAGTGTTGAAATTGCTCATCAGTGGATAAATGGTCCCGCTTTCCTCTCGCTACCTGCTGAAGAATTGCCAGAAGAAGAAGACCTAGGTGCGATCAACACAAGTGAAATGCGAACCAGATTTCTAACTTACAATGTGCGAAAGCTTAATGTTAATTTCGAATGTTTTTCGAATTAGATTCGTTTGTATAGAGCAGTAGCAAACTGTTTGCTTTACATCGAAAAATTACAACAACGCCTCCATGGTATATCGCAAAGCTGTCGTCTAACCGCGTACCATTTTTATCGCGCGAAGCTTTTAATTTTTAAAACGATTCAAATGGAAAACTGTGATAACTGGTCAACGCTTAAAATTGGTAAACCTGTATGCAAAAATGGGCCTTTACGAAATCTTCAAGTTTATATGGACAATGACGATCTAATTCGTCTCAACGTGATTTCATCGCATTGCCATCAGATCATCGGGTCACGTATCTGATAGTAGAGCATTATTACCAACGCTTCTACCATATACAGCACGAGACAGCTCTGAATGAGGTAAGACAGTTATTTTTCATACCAAAAGTGCGATCATTATTTAAAACTGTACGGCGCAACTGCCAAGAATGTAAAATTGCAAACGCAGAACCGCAGGCTCCCAGATGGCTCCACTACCCTCTGCTCGGCTTGCTGCATACGTTCACCCCTTTACCTTTGTAGGAGTCAATTATTTCGGCCCGATATTGGTAACTGAAAACCGCAAAGCCAAGAAAAGGAGGGGGGTTATGCTGACGTGCCTCACAATAAGAGCAGTGCACATTGAAATAGCCCATACGCTCAGTACTGACTCCTGTCTTATGTGCCTGCGAAACTTCATTGCTCGACGTGGCTGCCCTGCGGTGCTGAGAGCTTCTTGAAAGAAGAACTTCGTAAGCTGGATGATTCTATCGTGGAGCGCGAACTTGCCCATAAAGGAATTATTTGGAAGTTTAACCCACCAGGGGCACCTCATATGGGGGGAGCGTGGGAACGCCTAATAAGAACAACAAAGTCGGTGCTTTACCAAATCTCGCCGTCGCAGAGGTTCACTGATGAAAGTTTACGTTCCGCTCTGCTGGAGGTGGAGATGATCATAAATTCACGGCCGTTAACATATTTATCCCTTGATTGCGAGGATCAGGAACCCATCACTCCCAATCATTTCTTGCTGGGCACCTCGAACGGAACGAAGCCCTTTTGCAAAGCCGAAGATATTAACTTAAAATTGAATTTACGTCACAGCGAGATATTCGCAAACTTATTTTGGCGTCGTTGGGTGCGCGAAATGGTACCATCTCTCACACGTCGCAGTAAATGGTTTGCGAAAGTGAAACCCATAAGTAAGGGTGACATCGTACTGATAGTCGACGAGAAGGCTGAGAGGAAAAGTCGTCGATACAACGTTGGCAAAAGACGGTCAGGTAAGACGAGCTAAAGTTAAAACAAAGCAAGGCATTTTGGAGCGGCCAGCTGTAAAGCTTGCAGTACTCGACATCGGCAAAGAAAAGGAAAGCTCTGAAGGATAGTCCGCTTACCCGGGGGAGATTGTTACCGATTTGAGCAACGCTTAAAAACGAGTACTAAATTTGCAACTCTGCGCGGAGTTTCGATCTCTTATTTATTACTAATTCTGCCAATTCGTCTCCTTATTTCGGTCATTTAAGTTATTTTGCGATAGAGACCAGACCTGCTTTTTATTGTAAAATTGATATCAACTAACTATAAAGAAAACTAAGGTAAATTGATTAATTATTTTGAATTATTAATTAACTGAAAATATGAATTGTTAAAATGCAAAAACCCAATTGAAATAATATATTTGCAGGTTTTTTAAAGCATCACGCTTTAATGCAACCGTACATTAAATAAAGCATTGCTATTTAAACTTAGTCTCGCCTAATTCTTTAAAGTTTGCAACATGGTTCTTGGAGTGTTTGAGAAAAAGATTCTGCGGCATATTTACGGGAATTTGCGCGTTGGCGACGGTGAATAACACAGACGATAGAGCGACAGGCTGTATGAGATTTACAATGACATAGTGCGCCGGACTCAAATACAGCGGCTCCGCTACTCGGCCATGTCCTGCGAATGCACACAACGCTCGAGCTCTAAAAGTATACACTGCGGATCACGATGTCGTTAGTAGAGGAAGAGAAAGGCCTCCTCTGCCACAGAAATGCCGGGTGGAGAATGACTTGGCATTTCTAATTGGCACAGAAGAGAAACGACTGGTGTGTTTTATTAGACCCGGCCAGAATCGCTTATTCGGTTACAGCGCCAATCAAGAAAAGAAAAGAGGTATGCGTCGAAATATGTACAGTAAATTTAGCTCCATTTTTACCTTTTCCGATATGTCTTTAAGCGGTATGACGGCAACTCCGACTAGGCGATCGTCTCTAGCGAAACAATAGTCTTTTACGCAGATATGCAATTCGAAGAACTCCAACTGCTCTTCGTTACCGATTGTGCTGAGGATATAAAAATATATATTTAGATACGTATTTTAACTGGGATGTAAAATTTCTTACAAATTAAACGTTTCATTATACTTCGGCGACCAGTTGTTTGATTTGGATTTTGTAGCAAATTTGCGCTTCCGATCCTGTAAGTGGGGCCCGATCAAATTGATTTCAATAAACGGCCGAAACATTCCCGACGGAATTTGCCATTTCAGATCGCTCGCTGCAACCACTGGGAACATAATATGCAACAGGTTTAGCTTTCGTTCGAAATATTATAACAATAATTACACTGGAACATACAATTTGTGTTTTTTGTCTGTTTCACGGATGCCTCTATCCATTCGCCATGTGGAATCACCCGCTGATTCCGAAAATCGAGTTAATTTTTTTTTCTATGGACAAGTTTTCGGGATATTTTCCATTTACCGTTATTCAGTTTAGAAGAAAAAGTGGTTCCACTTAATCACGTATATCTTTACGAATAAATTTAACAATCTTAATATGGAGTACGGCAAATGAAAGCTGACAAACCGTATAGACATTACTTTCCGACGGGATTGATAGTTTCTGAGAAATTAATTCATCATCATTATCAGGAAAGAATATTAAATACTCATACACCTGAGTAACATGCTTTTCTGCTCATATGTCATAAAAAAAATCTTTTGTCATTTTCATTTGACCACTCATTACTGCTTTATTTGTCCATCGATTTTCTTTATTAGTAACTTGATTTTTTTGTTACAGAACAGGCTTTAACACAAATGCAGCAAATTTACAAAAAATTTGTTATTTTAAAATTTTTCTCCTGTTAAAGTTTGCTTATTTTTAATTTCTTCATCAAAAAACAAAAACTCTGGAATGATTATTATACATACGGTTTATGGAGAATTTTGTAAGCTTTCATTTGCCGCATTTCATATTAAGATTGTTAAATTGGTTCGGAAGATGTGTATACGTGGTGGAACCACTTTTTGTTTTAAGCTGAATAACGGTAAATTGAAAATTTTCAGGGACCGAAAATAATCGTTATCATAAAGAATTTTTATTTAAAAATTATTGTATAATCGTTATTTTTCGATTTAAATAATTATGATAATTTTTAACCGTTATTTTATGATTTTTATTTTTTCGATCAAAAATAACACAGGCCAACAAAATTGAAACAATATTATGTTGACTAAAATTTATAGTCGATTCTTATAGGATTTTTCCCGTAGAATCCGAATCTGACCCTGAAGATAGTAGATTGGGTCTAGCAACTCAGGTTAAAAGTGTCGAAAAACGCGTTTTTGGACATTTTTGAGCCTCTGATGCAATATATCTGTCTGTGTGAGAGGATACGAAAGCCTAAACTTTGCTCGGATCGGCTGTAATATTTTAGTCAACATAAATTTTGCTGGCCTGTGTTCTGTTCTTTTACAATTTTAGGTTCTTTAGAAATTCCCAGCGCCTCAGATTCATTTAACACAAGTGATTAAAAACAGGCAAAACAAGAGTTAAAAAAAGTTTGTGTACTCGTTTAAAAAAACTGTTTGTAATTGCTTTCAGTGTTCGGACCATAATTTTTTGATTTTGAGTATGAAAGGGCAATGTTTAGGCTTTCATATCCTCCCACACAGACCATACAGATATATTGCATCAATTTATTGTTTTACAGAGGCGTTTTACGACATATTGAAACCAAAGTTGCTCGAAAACTAGAGCCAATACAATATCATTACGGCCAGATTCGGATTTTACGGGAAAAATCCTATAATAATCGGATACAATATTTTACGCAACAGAATTTTGTTGGGCAGTGTAATCGTTATTCTTTGATTTTTATTTTTTCAATAATTTTTAATCGTTATTTTATGAGTTTAATTTTTTAGATCAAAAATAATCGTTATTCTATGATTTTTATTTTTTCAATAATTTTTAATCGTTATATTAACACTTTTATTTTTTCGATCAAAAATAATCGCTATTCTTTGATTTTTATTTTTTCGATAATTTTTAATCGTTATTTTATGATTTCCATTTTTTTCGATCATATTTTCAGGGCTAATCTTGTCTGATCCTAGAAAACAAAAAAAAAACGTATAGTGTTGAAAATTAAAGCAACAAACGTAGACCTAAGATAACCTCAGGAACCACAAAAAAAAGTTCAGCAGGAAAATGAAAATAAAAATTCGTTGATTGATAGCAGGTGATTGTATTATTGATACCAGTGATGGGCAAAATTCTATTTACTAAAAATCAAGTGCTAAGTATTTTGATATTTATGTGGTAATAGGAGGATGGTTCCGTGCGCAGAAGTGGAAAATTGGAGGATGGTTCCGTGCGCAGAAGTGGAAAACGTTTGACTGCCATTCACTTGGGAGTGGCCAGAAGCGATTCTTGTGCGTACGGTTCAAATCGCAGCTCACAACGTCCGGATATTTATATCCACGTATCCTCTGGGTAGCAACCAAACACCCGTTTGGGAGCGAGCTAAAGTGAGAAGGCGTAAAACTTCGCGTGCGTTGGGTTTGGGTCCCGCCACGTTAAAACCCCGCCCAATGAAAAATTCCAACAAGCCTCGGATGAGACCCTCTTTTTCTGATGACGACCACGGCAAACGTATAAAGGACTATGATTTAAGGGTATGCACCTGGAATATCCGGAGCCTTAATGGGGAAGGTGCCTCTGCCCGGCTGGTTGATGTCCTCGGCAAGACAAAGGCTGACATCACCGCCATCCAAGAAATGCGATGGACGGGGCAAGGTAAAGTAAGCGTGAAGCCTTGCGACGTCTACTACAGTTGCCACGTAAAGGAGCGCAAATTCGGTGTTGGATTCGTGGTAGGAGAGAGACTCCGTCGCCGAGTACTGGCGTTCAACCCGGTGGACGAACGTCTAGCCACAATCCGCATCAAAGCTAGATTCTTCAACATCTCGCTCATCTGCGCCCATGCCCCGACGGAAGAGAAGGATGAGGCGTCCAAGGATCTCTCCTATGAGCGCTTGGAACGTACATATGAGCGCTGCCCCCGACACGATGTCAAAATCGTGCTTGGCGATTTTAATGCCAAGGTGGGCAAGGAAGGGATCTTTGGCGCCACTGTCGGAAAATTCAGCCTCCACGACGAAACGTCCGATAACGGACTGAGGCTGATCGACTTCGCCGGGGCCCGAAATATGGTAATATGTAGTACTAGGTTCCAGCATAAGAACATCCACCAAGCTCCAGATCGAAAAACGAGAAACCAAATCGATCATGTTGTGATAGACGGAAGGCATGCTTCAAGCGTTTTGGACGTACGTACACTCCGAGGGCCAAACATCGACTCGGACCACTATCTTGTTGTAGCCAAGATACGCACTCGCCTCTGTGCAGCAAGAAATGTGCGCCCAACAATGCAAGGAAAGCTTAACGTCGAAAAGCTGCAATCACAACAGACGGCCAATTTATTCGCCACTCGACTCACACACCTGCTCTCTGGGAGCACTCTTCAACAATCCGACGTACGCGAGCAGTGGAACCACATTTCCCGATCATTAAGTACCGCCGCCGAAGAAGTAGTTGGATTTCAGCGAGCCCGAAAGAACAACTGGTACGATGAGGAATGTCAAGAAGCCGCAGAGAAAAAAGATGCCGCCTACAGGGCCACGCTGCGATCGGGCGCAACGCGAGCCATGTGGGACCGTTATAGGGAACTGAAGAAGGAAGCGAGACGTATTTGCCGCAATAAGAAGAGAGAGGCCGAAATACGTGAGTGCGAAGAGCTTGAGAAGTTGGCCGACCCGAAGAACGCCCGAAAATTCTACCAGAGGGTTAGGCGACTTACGGAAGGTTTCAAGACCGGGGCGAACTCCTGTAAGAACAACAATGGCGACCTAGTGACCGATGTCCAGAATATACTTAAATTGTGGAGGGAACACTTTTATAACCTACTGAATGGTAGCAGCGCTGAAAGTAGTGAGGAAGACGAACCCGAGTCCCCAGTCGATGATGATGGAGTAGCTGTCCCACCGCCTGACTAGGACGAGGTACGAATAGCGATTACGCGGCTGAAAAACAACAAAGCTGCTGGAGCTGACGGCCTGCCAGCCGAGCTGTTCAAGTACGGCGGCGAGGAGCTGATGAGGTGCATGCATCAGCTCGTATGCAGAATATGGTCAGATGAACGCATGCCCGACGACGACGGGAATTTAAGTGTGCTCTGCCCAATCCACAAGAAAGGCGACCCCGCCATACGCGCCAACTACCGCGGAATTAGCCTTCTAAGCATAGGTTACAAGGTCTTATCGAGCGTATTGTGCGAAAGACTGAAGCCCACCGTCAACGAGCTGATTGGACCTTATCAGTGTGGCTTTAGGCCTGGAAAATCCACCATAGATCAGGTATTCACAATACGCCAAATCTTGGAAAAGTCCCGCGAGAATAGGATCGACACACACCATCTATTTGTCGATTTCAAAGCCGCTTTCGACAGCACGAAGAGAAGTTGCCTTTATGCCGCGATGTCTGAATTTGGTATCCCCGCGAAACTAACACGGCTGTGTAAAATGACGTTGAGCAATACCACCAGCTCCGTCAGAATAGGGAAGGACCTCTCCGAGCCGTTTGATACCAAACGAGGTTTCAGACAAGGGGACTCCCTTTCGTGTGATTTCTTTAATCTTATTTTGGAGAAGATAATAAGAGCCGCAGAACTGAACCGCTCAGGCACAATACTTTAAAAGAGCGTACAATTGCTGGCGTATGCCGACGACATCGATATTATCGGTAAAAACAAGGGCTACGTCTGTTCTGCCTTCTCGGGATTGGATAGAGAAGCAAAGCGAATGGGTCTGGTGGTGAACGAGGACAAAACGAAGTATCTCCTGTCAGCACACAAACAGTCAGAGCATACGCGTCTTGGCACCCACGTCACTGTTGACAGTTACAAGTTTGAAAAAGTAGACGACTTCGTTTATTTGGGAACCAGCATTAACACCAATAATAATGTCAGCCTTGAAATCCAACGGAGAATCACTCTTGCCAACAAGTGCTACTTTGGGCTGAGTAGGCAATTGAGAAGTAAAGTCCTCTCTCGTCGTACAAAGATCACACTCTATAAGTCACTCATCATGCCTGTGCTGGTGTATGGCGCGGAAGCATGTACAATGAAAGCATCTGATGAGGCGGCTCTTGGAGTTTTCGAGAGAAAGATACTGCGAAAGATTTACGGACCTTTACGCGTTGGTGATGGCGAATATCGCA